GTTTTACCTTTTTTATTTCTCTAGATAAGTTTTAATTCAACTTTTTAAAAAGTTAATTAACATTTATTATGTAATTAACTTAATTAGCATATATTATGTTCTAGTGAGGGTGTGAGACGGCTGAACTGTGAGAAGAATACTGGAGCACCTAAATATGCATTTAATAGTCTTCAGCTTACTACCTTTCCTAAGCTGTACAGACCCCCGCCCGGTACATACGGGTCAACAGAGACATAATTATGTACAGACCACCGCCCGGTACATACGGGTCTACAGAGACACATATATGTACAGACCCCACCCGGTACATACGGGTCTACAGAGACCTTGATATGTACATTATATAATGTTTTAACTTGTACCATGAAAATTCTTAGCAGCTCTTTTAAGAGAATCTTTTATGTTACATGGCGTAAGTCATTTTATATCCAAAAATCTCTGATTGGTGTACTGTACACCTTAACCCACCCTGACTTAAACCATTCGATTATATTGATTTGGTTTCTTTTCAATTCAGATCCCGCGATTTAAAAGCTAAGGCTTGGGTCGAATTTTCTTAAACCCAGCTTTAAGATTCAATATTAGACTCAACTCTGACGATAACTTGTGTCACGTGATTGACAGCTGCGAGATCTTATAAGACTCGACTTAGGAGTTAGGCCCAGTGAAAATAAAACCGACCTTGGGTTGGTTTTAGTGGCTCCATGTTGAGCCTTGTTCTCATAAAACCCGGAATGCACCAATTCCTACCATGAAAATCCCCCAAATAGAATATTAAACCGGGTTTTTGAACTCAACTCTGTGGAAAATGCAGCTTGAATCCGAAAGCTCAAGCCGTAAGTAAGGCCCAACGACATCTTGGACCTGAGTCGTATTTTTCCGAATTTTTTAAATCGCCGGCTCAGTTAAAAAATAAAACAACTATAAACAACTATAATTATATTTCATGTTGGATTAAAATCTGACTCCTCTTACCTCTTATTAAAGAGCTGTTGAGAAGTACAACGTTTTTCGAATTTCTAGTAATTGTAACAAACTAAAATTTTGTCACTTTAAATTTCTAATTCCAATATTTGTTCAACCTGATGGCGTAAACCTATGATATTTCAAACTTAGATTATTTTATTTAAAAGAATTCAAAGTTTAAAATATCAAAGGTCTACGACATTCGGATGCAAAGACCTACTTTTGCGTAAAATCAAAACCAGAGGAGCTAAAGATCACAAAGTAGTACGAGTAATGTAGCAAAAATTTGATCTTTTCTTTCTGTCTAGTTGAGTGTTACCACTTATCAAGAAATTATCATGTTTAGTGGGTCACACGCAAACACTCAAAATTTCCGACCCTCCCTGTCTTGTAATAAAACAGTCCATTTTTTCGGAATAGATTATTTTTTTACTGTTTACCCCGGTGTTAAAAATAAGGAAAAATTTATCAAGATAATTATTAATTTATGCATTTAAAGGGACTGTAAAGGAAAAATGAAAGGGGGTATATGCTGAAAGCTAATCACTTTAGCTCTCGATCACGACCCATGAAAGTTTTATCTGATGTGCCTACCTCGAGAAACTGATTTACAACTTTGTGAAATTTATACGAAAATTAATATATATACAATTTTGTATAAAAGTAGTGGGTTTAATAAGATCAAATTCAGCAAATATGCAACCAATCTGAAAACGATGATATCCCAGAGAAAGCTAATTGTAACTTAGGTTTACTCCAATTCTTATTTTATATTTGTTATTTCTATTTTTTATAGATTTAATTCATAATATTATTTATACGTCCGTATTGCTTGACCAGAAATTCCACCAATGGCAGTGCAGTAAAGTGGTCACGTGATACAGGCGGAGACACGTGACCAGTATACTGCTCTGCCATTGGTGATACAGTTTAAATTGCACCCCGCGACCCCCAGGTTTACGTATGTGAGTAGGTAGAATATATGGAAGCTTAAGTCTGTGTATAATTGCACCCCGCGACCCACAGGTTTACGTATGTAAAGCAATCCGACTGGAACTATTAAAGATTGAAGTTGAGGAGGTAGAATATATGGAAGCTTAAGCCTGTGTATAATTGCACCCCGTGACCCCCAGGTTTACGTATGTAAAGCAATCCGACTGGAACCTATATGTTGTTGAGCTCCTACTTTCGACATCGCTCACGTCTAGAGTTTTTGAGCTACAGCCTTGAAACTTTGCATGCAGGCGCGGAAATACTCCAAGATTTATGACCTAAAACTTCAAAGCTCGAATACTTTTTGAGTTATTAAAGATTAAAATTGAGGGAACGGTCACGAGACAGGAACATCAGATAAATCTTTCATGGGTCGCGATCAAGAGCTAAAGTGATTAGCTTTCAGCCTATACCCCCTTTCATTTTTCCTTTACAGTCCCTTTAAGATTGATTTTTTTCCTAGATTTCTTTTTTCTTTTACTTTAAAAGGACCTCAAAATGTCCAGACATATTAAAAAAAATTCTAGGAGAAAAAATGCAATTATTGAGGAACTGATCACTCGCCATAAAATTCAATTTTGAATCCCTATTTCTTTGCAACCTGACGTGCAAACCAATATTTCAAACTTTGAACATCTATGTTTTAATGTTTTAAATATTAAGATATGAGGATTAGAAAACTAGAGATTCATGAGAATTATCTGTCCTTTTTACTTTAATTAAGTATTTCTGGTTTTTTAGAATATTACCTAACATGATGAGCTCATGGATTAAAGACAGTATTAAAGGCGCTTCCGAAATTGAGACAAATGTGCCAAATATCACACTGTATTCACACATTTATAAAGCGCACCAAATTTAGTCATTTATCTATGAGAAAATTAACATAATGGAAGAATTTTAAAAAAAAATCAATGCTATAAAATGCATTTATTACTTACAGTTATCTAATATGGTAGAATGATTTTATAAATAAACAAAATTTACATATTTTTGATTGTAAAGACGACCTTTATTTGTTTATGTGAATATTTTTTCTTGTACTTAACGTTTTGTATAGAGATGATAGGAAATTGTAATATTTTAATTTAAATATCATGTTTTTCGTATTCCCTGTACTTAAACTACATACATGTACTTGTATTGCAATATGAGTATATAATTGTCATTGAAATATGTTATTCACATCATTTAATGATGAAATATTTATCAATTTATATAATCGCAATGAAATTAGTAATACGTATAACTAATTATGTATTAGAAATTGCCATTTTACTATATAAATTATTAATTGCTATTTAAATTGTAAATTAAATGTTCAAGATTATTTTAGCCCCAAAACTTATTTTTAAGATGTTTCCTTTAAAGGATAGCTGTGTAGGACCCCCCCTCCTCATCTTAGCTCAACCAATTGCAGTACACATATCAACTTATCATACTAATTGTTCTTTAATGTAAATAAATTATTTTCAACAAACAGACATTGTTTTTTAAACTGCAGAGAAGAAAAGTATTATGACAATTTTTCAATGAGTTTTATACTATATTTGGTAAATTTCAGTATTTGCGAAAATAAATAAATAGCCATGAATATGTGGGAACAGTTTAAAGAGTTCCATATAGTTATTTATTTAAAAAACTAAATATCTGCAATATTCCATTATCAGAAAGTGAAGAATACGACATTTGATGAATTTTTTCGATGTATTCGTTATTAAAGGTTTCACTGTAGGTGTTGAGGCCGCCTCACTTCCCTTTCTTACAAACAAATTTAGGTTTTAAATTTTGATTTTTAATCGTACTCCAAAAAAAAGCCAATTTTAAAAGTTTTAAAATATTTCATCAGGCAGATTTTTCTGTTTTAATTGGTGGCTTTTCAAAAATCTTTTTTAATTTTTCAATTTCGACCAGTCATAAACCTTTCCCTTGGGTCATGTGAGATGTCACACAAAATTTGGTGGTCAAACTATTGGTAAAATAGTTTTAAAAATATGTTTTGTGGTTGATTTCTTTGGTCAGAATGAAAATTTCTTAAAATGTTCTATACGCATCTCAGATTCTAACGATTTTTTTTGTAGAAAAATAACTAGAAAAAATCCTCAATACCTAAATACGATGTCCAGCTTACCGAATTTGACGTGAGCTGTTGTTGCCCGGATGATCGTTCCCATAGATTAATTAACAATAACCCTGAGGCAGAAGCCCAAAGGAGTTCCGCGCAGGCAGCGTTGAATTATAACAAAAAGAGATAGAGAGAGCCTGTGCGGAACTTTTTTGGCTTCTGCCTCAGGGTTATTGAGAACAAATAACCCTAATTCTTGATAAGACGACATCTAGTGTTCTATCTGTTATTGTTAAAAGGAGTGACCGGCTATGTAAGGTAGTTTAACTGAGTATGCGGTGTTGACGTTGTGGAAAGCTTCTTTCGGATTCATTTAAGACATATTAAACTTTTTTAAGATCTGTAAATCCTGAGTTTCAGTGCAAATTCGACGTTTAAAACTCCTACTTTGAGGGTGTTTTCAGAATTAGTTTTTTTTTATTAAATAAAGTTTTCCACAACACTGTATACTCAGTTCAACTACCTTACATAGCCAGTCACTCCCTTTAATTGATCTACGATTATTACAACAAAGACAAAGTAAGCTTAATATTAGGAAAATTATGAAGAAAGAAGCGTTGTAAAAACTCAAAAAAGTTTCTAAATGAAAAAATGCATCGTTTTTGTCTTGAATTTTCTGAAGTTATGCATTATGCATGGAAATGGAAATTAAACTTGCATTTAAATTACATATTGTACTTTTTATTATACAAGCTGGAAATTAAATGTCATTCTTGAAAAAAGTGTTTAAAGCAGATGTAAATTTATTTTAGATATTTCATCCTTCTATCAACAACGTTTTTGTATTTTTCTCATCCTACATGCTAGAAGAGTATATACTGTACAAGTGTACACAGGTAAACAAGCTGACAATATATTTTACAAAAATAATTTAATGTTTAACAGGACTGACCGGCTAGTCATGGTAGTTTAGCTGAGATTGCAGTATGTAGAGAAGTCTTTCAGGATTCTATGAGACCTATGAGACGTTTTTACAGTGTAAAAATGTAAAGCAAGAGGGCAAATTTAATCATTAAAATCCTCCTTTACTGTCCAATCTGAGCAGGCGATTTAAAAAATTCAAGAAAATACGACTCGGGTCTAAGCTGTTGTTGAGCCTTATTTACGGCTCGGGCTTTCGGATAAAGTTGCATCTAATTTTCAACAGAGTTTAGTTCATAAAACCGGTTTAATTTTGTATTTGTCGGATTTTCATAGTTAGAATTGGCGCATTCCGGGTTTTGATGAGAAGAAGACCCAACATTGAGCATTATTCTCCACTAAAACCAACCAAGGTCGGTTTTATTTTCATTGCGCTTAACTCCTTAAGTCGAGCCTAAGATCTCGCAGCTGTCAATCACTTGACACAAGCTGTCGTCAGAGTTGGGTCGAAGATTGGGTCTTAAAGTCGGGTTTAAGGAATTACGACTCGAGCCGAAGTTTTTAAATCGCGGGCTCCGGAGGGATGATTTTGAGAATCGGTTTTTTAAAAATTATTGAATAAAGGCGATTAAAAATGTAACTAATTATTTGTTAAGTGACAGGTTAAGAAAATAAAAATTAACTCTTAAAATCGAAAATGAGTAATTTTATTCAGTTATCAGTTTCTGTTATGTTTGGTGTTCAAAAACGTTTTCCGTAGATTTTCCATAATTTTTTTTTGAAAAGACGACATTTGAAGAATTTGAAGAAATTTGCGAATAAATACATATATTCAATATAATAATGATAAAGAAATAAAGTTGATTTCTTTACAAATTTCTATTGAGAATTATGTTCCTTAACAAGTACTTAGTTTACTGTAACATTTTCAATAAATGTTTTATTTAGTTTAGTTTATAAAGAGCATAAAAAAATGTTATTCCTAAATGCTGTCAGAATTTGTTCGGAGAAAAAAATAATGATAAAAAATAGTTTAGTTCGGCAAAAATATATCATAGTTAATATAGAATTTTTAAAAAGGAACCATTAATTAAAGTTTTAACGTTTATTATATATATTTAAATCATACGGTGTTTCATTCATTTTGATTCTTTACAAGGTTTTAGCTTAATACTGTTCAGTGTTTAATAAAAAATAACATTTTTAAAAAATCCTTAATATAAATGGCTTTACACATAATAAAGTAACATTTAAATCCAAGAAATTATCAAAAAACGCATACATTTAAAAAATTTAAAAAGCTTATAAATTTAAAAATTAAAATGGAGGTTTTTGAAATTTTTGACTAAGGAAAGTTGTTCGTTACTATTTATGAACATATTATGAGCCTACCTTCTGTTAATATTTTGTTTTCACTGGGGGGGGGGGGGGGTAAGAATTATTAATTCAGAGGATAAAAATATCCGGATAAAATAAATTATATACAGGGTGTCCCACGAAACATGACAGTTGTTGAATAGTTTTGAATGTCTTCTTCCATATATTATTTTGGATATTAAAGACTTTTGCATGTCATTCCGTCAAAACATCTTTTTCTCAAATATTTTTTGCTTTGAAATCAATTTTGCAATAATACAATTGGCATACAATATACTTTATCATTCTTTTTAATATCAAAAAACTTAACTATATATGGAAGAAGACATTTTAAACTATTCACCAACTGTCAAGTTTCTTGGGACACCCTGTACTTTCTTGATATTTCTAGAAATCTAAGTTTGTACAAATGTTATAGTTATAGTCAAACTAAATGTTGTTTATCACAATTTTAATAAAATTGTACGACAGTTGAAAACTCATTAGTATATGTTTAGCTGCATCAGGAACAATTTGAAAAATAAATTTTAATAAAAAGACTAAGACTTAGATGAGTCTATTTGTATCTTGTTTCTTCTGTACTGTATTCAGCGCCATCTATATTTTTAATCAGCTGCTCTATACTCCTAAATTAACACAATAAACAAACTGATCAATTACCACAGTCTCTAACTTTATCAGATGTATATCTTTGCAACCTGATGGTGTAAATATTTGAAATTATAATTTTTTGACTGCTTTATGTATAGCAGAAATTCTCTGTTTAACGTATCAAAGGTCTACACTCTACGATATCGAAAATTTTGGGTGGATTTTGTTAATCTTAAAAGCTTGATCTCGATATCCGTTATGGGCTCTTTTAAGAGAAATTGAATTAATCCATTCAGTCCATATAAGATAGAGGATTGGAGATCAATACTTGATCCCTAGATTTACTATGTTCTGACTTCAGGTTGCAAATATATTAGGATTAAAAAAGAAAAGATTACTGCTAGTAGTATAATGTTATGTTAACACCCATGTTGTTGCAAATATATTAGGATTAAAAAAGAAAAGATTGCTGCTAGTAGTATAATGTTATGTTAACACCCATGTTGTTGCAAATATATTAGGATTAAAAAAGAAAAGATTGCTNTAGTTTCAAGGGACCCTGAGCTACGCTTATAGTCCTAAACATCATTTTAACTTGAATCTAAGTTTAGATTTTCTTTCAGTCGAGTTTTTCCCGGCCCTGCTCTCGTCTTTCATCTTTCAAATAATTTGCGAAATTTAATTTTTAACCTAATTTTATAAATACTAACATTCATGAAATAATGATCACAAATTAATTCTATTCCTGACATTTTCAAAGTGTGGGTTGCTCTTTTCGTGCTTTCAAAATTATTTAATAAATTGAAATCCAAACGAAATTCTTCATATCTCTGGTAATCTGAAAGCACAAAAAAGGCAGACCATATTTTGGAATTTGCAGGTTTAGAGGTATTTTGTGAATGTGATTAAAATCACTAAAAACTACAGTTTTTTAAAGGTTGGGGAAATGAATATTACCTGCCCTTTGCAATTGTATGACGGGGCATTGTAAGATGGAGGATTGTAAGATGGAGCATTGTAGGATGGAGCATTGTAGGATGGAGCATTGTAGGATGGGGCATTGTAGGATGGAACATTGTAGGATGGAGGGCTGTAGTTGCTAACTGGAGCAGCTTGCGGTGACCCATATTCATCAATGGCACCTGCTTGAGGAGATCCATAAGTATCAACACTAGATGTTGCGGCATTCGGTGTTTCATGCGCATGAGCAGAATGTGAGTGCTGATTGGCTGCAGCGGAGTGAGCGTGATGGTGATTGGTTGAAGCTCCGTTTAATGGAGGGAAGTGACTAGTGCCCTTGTCTCTCTCTTCTCGAATAGAATTATCAGAGAAGATTTCATCTAGGATTGGATCTTTATCAGGAAGAGGATCCTTGAAATCTAATCCCTTCAAATCATCAGGTTTGTCCCAGGTTGAAATTCCTAAATTGCCATCAATAAATCTAAATCTGAGTTATAAAATAAACACAATGAATGATAAACAGTAATTGCAATGTTTTATATTGTTATATTGCAATTGTTCATGTATTGTAAACAAACTTACTCTAAAAGTTTCAAAAATTTACTTTTAAAGAACCGCAACAAGTATCTTACAGCTAATTTGCTTTACCAAGATAGAGCTTCACACTTTTGAAGAAACAAAGATATTTCAAATGCTGGCTAATTCTTCCAGGAAGGTTAAATCGGCTCACATTGGTCAACACTTATTAGAGTTCGATCAAGTTTAACCAATATTTTATTGACAACAACTTTGGGAATTTTTGTAAATATGAATTCCATTAGTCTCCCTGCTATGTACAGAAACTCATTCTTCCCATCTAAAAGGTCCCAACCAATATTTTCTAACAGGTTTGGTTTAAATTAATTTCTCTACTTGTTTCCGTGTTGTAGTAGTACCAAGCTGAGTACTGAGCATCCCATTGTGCAATCCAGTTCCCAACCTAATCAATTCAGTTTAAACTTTTGGAATCAATTACATAAAATAATCTCTGTTTGTGTGTATGTCAGATCATAGCTCAGGCCGATTTGCTTCAAATTTGAAAGTTTCAATTGAGTAAGTCGACTTTTTAAATGAAAATTTTTTTACCAGGCAAAGTTGGGTTCTCAAAATTAGTAAAATAGTATCATTATCATTTATCATAAAATGTTGAAAAAGAAAAAAAGAAAAAACAGATACACTTATTGGCAGAATACGAACCTGTAAATATGTATTACTAGGATCTGCTGAAGCTGGACTCCTCTCCTCCGGTGCAACCTGGATATTTATAATAATTAAAAAGGTATGTCACTACTTATCAATATATTAACAATTAAAGGTAGGTCACTACTTATCAATGTATTAACATTTAAAGGTAGGTCACTTCTTATCAATATATTAACAATTAAAGGTAGGTCACTACTTATCAATATATTAACAATTAGATGTAGGTCACTACTTATCAATATATTAACAATTAAAGGTAGGTCACTACTTATCAATATATTAACAATTAAAGGTAGATCACTGCAATTCAATATATTAAGAATTAAAGGTAGGTCACTACATTTCAATATATTAACAATTAAAGAGGTAGATAACTGCAATTCAATATATTAACAATTAAAGGGGCCACTGCTATACAGTATAACAATAATTAAAGGGGTAGTTCACTGATTTTCAATATATTTCTTTAGATAAAATCCCTTTGAATTTTCCTTGCTCGCTCTGAATTAATTAATAATTTTTACACTTAAAAGAACAAATATAATCTATTTTATGATTTTACAATGATTTAATACTTACCAGGACAGGAAGTAGCTCATTCTCCTCAACATCAAGTCTACTCATAGCCTTCTCCTCAACAAATCCAGCGGCCATCTTGCTTTCTCCCATTTCCTGGATTTATATATATCATATACCCAGCCACTATCTTGCTTTCTCCCATTTCCTAGATTTATATATATCATATACCCAGCCACCATCTTGCTTTCAATTCCATATTCTAGATTCATATATATCATATACCCAGCCACCATCTTGCTTTCAATTCCATATCCTAGATTCATATATATCATATACCCAGCCACCATCTTGCTTTCTCTCACATCCTAGATTTATATATATCATATACCTATTACCTACAGCCACCATCTTGCTTTCTCCCACATCCTAGATTTATATATATAATAAAACTCTTCGCTCATATAAATATTTATTTGTATGTAATGTATAGATATATGTTTGTTGACTTTAAAAGTCACTATAATAAAATAAAGAGATCTAAAATGGATATTTCTAACATTTATTTTATGTACATTCAAAACCTTTTAACCTAAATAAAAGAAAAAAAAAGAAAAATACCTCTTGAACTTGTAATAAACTGTTTATTGATTAAAAGAAAAATACCTCTTGAACTTGTGAATCATCTCCCCCAACTCTGATAGTTTCTACAAGGTCGATAGAGAAATCGTCGACGAAACTGTTATCTCGTCTGTCCCGGGATATATCGGTCTGAAATAGAAAAGGTTAAAATTTTCATAATTTATCATTTACGTCATAGAAAAAATGTAAAAAGATGACGCAAATTTGATTGTTTAAGCAATCGTATTTTAGATCTAAATTGTTTGAAACAAATTGTGCAAAGATTACAGTTTTTTGCCCATGGGTTTTAGTGTACAGACACATTTTTGGGGCACACTTACAGTATGTGCAATGTACGGTGGTGTTAGGTATCTTCTATGGTATATTTAATCTATGGTTTAACCAACACGGATTCATGACTCATGACTAATAATGCAGTTTAAGATGCACCCGAGCATTCCACAATAAATTTATATTATATTCGTATAAAAAGCCTTTTTGTTATTATTGCAAGCAAATATGTGTATTGATAGATTTTGAAGTGAAGTATGGGCTGCGCAGTCCAATAAAATAATAAGTTTAAGCAGGCATGTCAAATTATCGGTACCCGATTAAGAGGTTTTGCATGACTAACATATTTCAAAATCTTTTTCCAATTTCATACAATAAAATCGGTAAAAAGATATTCAGAGAAAATGAACTCAACGGATGGAACTTTGGAAACTGGAAAAGGATTTCTATTGTTATAAAATCCCCATGTTTATTAGGAATCTTATATGTTCAAAACTAGTAAAAAGTACAAGTCCGTAAAGAACAACCTCCTTCTAAAGTACACATATATTTACAAAGTAGGTCTACGGTCTACCATAGTACAGATTTATAAAGTAAACAGAGTACAAACCCATTTACTATTAAAGTACACAGAGTACAAACCCATCTACTAGTAAAGTAAACAGAGTACAAACCCATCTACTAGTAAAGTGAACAGAGTACAAACCCATCTACTAGTAAAGTAAACAGAGTACAAACCCATCTACTAGTAAAGTAAACAGAGTACAAACCCATCTACTAGTAAAGTAAACAGTGTACAAACCCATCTACTAGTAAAGTAAATAGAGTACAAACCCATCTACTAGTAAAGTACAGGTTGACAGTAAACATTATACTATAAGTACACAACTACGATTGAACTATGAAAGTCTAAAACAGGACAGTATATATAATATACATTCTTACCTATAAACTTCAAAGTACAGGAAAGGATAGAACAGATATTGAAGGAAAGGATAGAACAGATATGGAAAGAATATTTAGAACAAAACAGATATTGAAGGAAAGGATAGAACATGTATTGAAGGATAGAACAGATACTTAATTGGATAGAACAGAAATTGAAGGTTCAGAATTCATATACTTCTATCTGTAAGAGAGAATTTCTAGTCTGGATTACTTCATGCATCGATGCGTATAATTTGAATCAATAATTTCCAATGTCAAACTGACCCTTCCCTCCCATCCCCCTTCATCGTAATTAACCATTTCCGAAGATTAGACATTTAAAAATAAAATAAATAAAAAGTGTTTTTTAGCCTGATGTCTTAACATTTCTCATTAAAAAGTTGCGACGTCGGAAACTGCGTTATTAAATAATAATTATAAGCTAGACACATGAGACCGTACTTTGAGACCATGTACAGTCATTTAATAAATAATTTGTGTGATTAAATGAAGTTCACCTTCTCTCTGCTTTATTATTGACAGCACGATCAAACCAAATTATCAGGAATCAGACTTAATGAATAGTAAGAAGTAGTTAAACCACCTACCACCGGTTCAAACTTTTTTTAACCGCGGATCAAGGCATGGAGAGAAGTGATTCAATTTAATCTATTGATTAAAAATGGTCCCAAAAGCCGAAGTTAAAGTATTTTAGCCGCGTCTCAAATTTGAGAAGTGGCTCAAACATTGATGGTTCCACTTGAAATTGTAATCGGTGTTTAGAGATTTGAGCCGGCGTTTAAATGGAACCGGTTTTTGCGGTTCAGCGACGCAATCTATAGTGGTTCGGATCATCCAGCGATCAGACTCATTTGTTTGTGACTTCTGGATAGAGTTTTTTCTCTCTCTCTCTCAAATTCCTAAAATGTATGGTTATTGTATGGTATAAGGTAAAACAAATTTAACTGAAAACATTTATAGAGATAATAAAAACCGAAAAGTTAAATAGAAACAAAAACTGAAATAAGCAAAAGATATATCAATCCCGAAACTAAATTCTAAAAAATTATTAAACCCAGAGGCGGATACAGGGGAGGAGGCAGGACCTATGCACCCCCTGAGATTTCAGAATAGCTTCTTAATAGCATTTAAGGGAAAGAAAACCTGGTGCAAAACAGGAAAAATATTTATCTTAAATCAAANTTTTGTTACAGTAACCTACATCACATAAAGGAAAACGATAAGGTCTGATCAAATTATAACTTTAAAAATATCAATTTGCAAGATTTTCTCGAAATCCACTATTAGCCTGAAAACAAAAACCCAGTCACCTATGTTCATTGTTAAATTTAAAACAACCTGAAGTCCTCAGTTTATTCAAAATTACTCACGCCGTTTCCCGCGCTTGACCTTAAATTATGATTTTAGCTAAAGTGCCCAGCACACGAGAATTTCCCGAGAAGGGACTGGTTCATTAGGTGTACTGTCCCGTTTTGCCTTATATAGTCTGTTGTATGTGTACTGTACAGCTCCCTCTAGCTGGTTAGATGTCAGCCCGGTTCTTGAAATGAACAGGACTTAAAAGTGAGTGTTGCCCGTGGAATTTCCTAAAAAATGAATTTGTTTAACCTATGTCACCCCAGTGTACCTACGCGTTCCATCAAACAAATTTCAGTCAATTTGGTGTAGCCGTTTGGCCTGCTATATGGAACATATAAACCAAGGTTATAATGCAAGGAAAGTTATTTCAGAGGTGTGCGCATCTTTTGTACTGCAGTGTACTGTCATTGGACGGTAATGTAAACACAAGACGGATGTCAGAGACTGACATGGGATCCATCTTTCACATAAAAAATCAATGACATATTCTGGTCATAGGAACTATTATGCAAATTCTATTAAAATTATCAAATTTAATGCTTTAATGTCCTCGGATACTAAACGAACATTGATGCATCTATTCTTGTTTACAAATTCCGCCCAGAGTGAACTGGTTTCAATATTTACGCAGAGTATACGCAACTTCAATTAACTTTCCTTGCATTATAACCATGATAAAAACGAGCGAATAGCTTTATTATATAAAAGAGTTGTAAAGCTATAGATCGAACACCGACTTCAATCTTGGATTTTTACAGCGCTACTAAAGCCTTGTGATATTTATAAAAATTAAAGAAATTTCAAAACAAGTATCTATATATATTTATGAAGTAGTACTCTCTGTGTGACCATTTTATATGTCAGATCATAATTATGGAACCCCTTAACCGATTTGCCGTAAATTTTGTATGAAGAACTGAAGCAGAACCACGGGAACGGGGGAATGCTCTAAGCTTGGTAATACAAATCAAAGTTGAGTGGAGTGACTTTTTAAGGATTGTTTAGTTTCCAGGCCAAGTTGTGGTCCCAAGCTAGTAAGAAATATATTTATAATTCTGAAAAAGAGAGTAGATTTATTTCTCAAATACTCTCTCCGGTTCTATAAATTTCAAAGAATGTAACCAATAGCATCAAAATGCATAGTCTAGGAATTTCTCAATAATATTTATATCTAGACTTTTATTCGTCGTGGTACAGTGTACAGTGTACGTACATGTAATCTGCAAACTGATATTTTTTTGGAGAAAACGCATTTTAAAAATTAACAGAAATCAGATGAGTAAATGCAAAATGTTAAAAAATGAGACATCGCCGGCGGGTAACAAAGGAATTGACTCTTTGCCACAAACTCTGATTTTCTAATCCCAATATCTTTGGAACCCAATGTCGTAAACCTTTGATATTTCAAACTTATATTTTTTGATCTAACAAAAGTCATAGTTTGAAATTTCAAAGGTTTAAGACGTTGGAANTTCTAGGTTTTTATAGAGGGGGGGAGTTCTGAATATAGTTTTTCTAGGTTTTTATTATGTACAAATGTCGTATCTTTGTATCAACAATTGTTTGCTCTTTTTTACCAGTTTTGAAAATTTGTTTATAATCTATATACACAATACAATACACAGTGATACACAAAGGATGAGACTTCAGAGACGACTGTATGAAATCTATCATGTCTTTTTATGACATTTTCGTTTCCATGCAACCATAAACTTATTAATATCCAAATCATTAAAAGAATTATTTAAAAAAAGACAAAACTTAACCTTCAGATCGTTGATAAAAATCATTAAAGGTGTCATTAAAGTCTTACACTTTGTGGGTAACCCTGTATATTCATGAATTATATAAATATTCTTTTTATCATCCAAGCATTTTTTTGTGAACACAATTTGCCATGTATTTAAAAAAAGTGGAATAGATTTTATACAAGATGGACCACAATTGTTTAATTGTACAAATGCATTTTACTTAAAATGGACCACATTTTTAAGAAGAATGCCCATTTTTTAAATAAGATGGACCAAAGTTTGAAAAAGATGGACCACATTTAAGGACGATGGACCAGATTTCAAAGAAGTTGGCCCATATTTAAAGAAGATGGACCAGATTTTAAAAAAGTTGGCTCATATTTAGAGAGAATGTATCAGATTTTAAAGAAGTTGGCCCATATTTAAAGAAGATGAACCAGATGTATATTGTGCTTAAGCATGTGGAATTATGGGAAAACAGCTTCAGTTTTTATATTTCTAATTTTATTATATAATAATATATATATATTATATCTGTGTCAACATAAATTTCTATTTAACCAAATTCCTTTCCAAATAACGATGAATTCTGGCTGATTATTAAATTTCGATCATGCACAGGGGCCAGGGGGTGTCTCAAAAAAGAACAATATAAAAATGCAACGCACTTTTGATACTCATAGTTTTTACAACTGATTTAAACATCGAGATATATTTTGATAATTCATTTAATAGATTTTACTCAAAGTTCTTTGCTCCAATATTTTTTCTTGACACCCGAGATAACTATTGAGCGTAACTATCAATATTTGAAATATTTCGAATTTATTTAGAAATTTTGTAACTTTCGTTTTATAATTGTTTACATTTTACAGTTCTATATTTCACGCAAATTATACGTACAGTCTATGTTACCATATGCCCAACTCAATGGGGGAATGAATTACGATGTGGGAATGAACTACAATGTGGGAATGAATTATAATGTGGAAATGAATTATAATGTAAAAATTAATTATAGTGAAAGGAATGAATTACAATGTGAATGAATTACAACGAAAGAATGAATTATCATGTGGGAATGAATTACATTGCGGGAATGAATTACAATGAAAGAATGAATTATCATGTGGGAATGAATTAAAATGTAGGAATGAATTACAATGTGGGAATGAATTACAATGAAAGAATGAATTATCATGTGGAAATGAATTTTAATGTGGAAATGAATTATAATGAAAGGAATGAATTACAATGTGAAAGAATTACAACGAAAGAATGAATTATCATGTGGGAATGAATTACATTGCGGGAATGAATTACAATGAAAGAATGAATTATCATATGGGAATGAATTATAATGTGGGTATGAATTACAATGTGGGAATGAATTACAATGTGGGAATGATTTACCAAGTGGGAATGAATTACAATGTGAAAATGAATTACAAGGTGGGAAGGAATTACGATGTGGAAATGAATTACAATGTGGGAATGAATTACAATATGGGAAAGAATTACGATGTGGAAATGAATTACAATGTGGGAATGAATTACATTGTGGGAATGAATTACAATATGGAAATGAATTACAACGTGGTAATCAATTACAATGTGAAAATGAATTACAATGTGGGAATTAATTACAATGTGAGAATGAATTACATTGTGGAAATGAATTACAATGTGGAAATGAATTAAAATTTTAAAATGAATTACAATATGGAAATGAATTACAATATGGAAATGAATTACAATGTGGCAATGAATTAGATGAATTGTGGAGAATGAAAAAACATTGTGGAAATCAGTTGCAATTTGCGGGAATGAATGACAATTAAAATTTGCGAACGAATTACATTGTGGAAATGAATAATTACCATTTGCGTGTGGGAATGAATTACAATGTGGGAATGAATTACAATGTAGGAATAAATTACAATGTGGGAATGAATTACAATGAAAGAATGAATTATCATGTGGAAATGAATTATAATGAAAGGAATGAATTACAATGTGAAAGAATTACAACGAAAGAATGAATTATCATGTGGGAATAAATTACAATGAAAGAATTAATTATCATATGGGAATGAATTATAATGTGGGTATGAATTACAATGTGGGAATGAATTACAATGTGGGAATGATTTACCATGTGGGAATGAATTACAATGTGAAAATGAATTA